CCCCACGTTTCGTCCCGATATCTGGTGGGTTAAGCTTTGGATAGCTGAAGGTTCCGGTTGTGGACCCCATAAGAAAACCACCTGTTTTGGCTTGGGCAACCTGGCAGTATTGCGTCCCCGAACAAATCACGGACTCGGACTAGCTACCACTTCCTCCCCGATTGTACCATGTCTTGTTTGGCACACAGCCTGAAATCGGGTTAATGTGAAATATACTATAATACAATACTATATATATATATATATATATATATATATATATATATATATATATATATATATATATTCTTGCTAATAAGAAACCGGATGAAGTACTTACAGGTCCCGTAGCGACCGAACCAAGGACCGTCACAAAGACAGCCATGGACTGATTTCGCGTGGATCGCGCAAGGATAAACTATCCGGGTGACTGATTGTTTGGTTCATAGTCCTTCGGATGAGACTAGCCATACTGGATGCCTAGTACACACTTCCGTCATGAATGCCGATGAGGATACTGTTGTACGCCTCATACGTCACTTGTGATTGGTTTAGAATCAAGGTTTGACCGTCTCCCAAAGACTGGTTAACGATCAGCCAACCCAGTGGAGAGTGTCGGGCATTCGCTTTTGTCCTCTCAATTTAGTGGGGACATATCTGCCATGAGAAGGCAGTGAATAGGACTTCCTCAACAGACTGTAGATGACGCACAGTCATTTGGAAGCATTTCGAGAGGCGTTCAGGACGAGTTAGCTTCTCGTAACCTGAAGCACCGATCTCCGAAAATACTGAGGCGTGTATATGAATGACATGGAAAGATCAAATTAATCATCGCGAAGGATAACTGAATTACCAGACAGGACCCCGAGTGGAAAATTACTGTTTGAACAAGCAAGACAATACCTGGTACGATGAAAACACGCTGCTGTGTACCATCAGACTGGACCTACGGATCACTTACAGCCCCGTACGTCAGAACTGAGTGTGATTTACTCAAACTGATGTTTCATGAGCTATTCCCATCGGTCATTAGGAAGACAAACGGAGCTGAGAATCTATTTCAAATATTCATTCTCGATTACCGACATTAATACGGGTTAAAGGGATGATTAAAACTGATATCCGCAAACAAGTGTGTGTGTGTGGGGGGGAGGAAGTGCTCACCAATGATATGAACATTATTACATTGTTTCGCTGACGATTACGCCGATAATCGGGCTTTTTATTACGTCATGCTTACCACATCATCACGGCGAGACTGCACCTTGGCATGGTGTGATGACCTGCGTGCCTCCATGACCCAAAGAGATATACAGGATGCCTTCCTCAAGTGGGAGATGCAACCACGCCTGGCAGGTCAATGGGTAGAGGCCAGACGAAGTCTAATCTCTGAATCAGCTGCTAGGCAGTCTTTCATCTGAGTTCACCACGAGAAGTGGTGTACGTCAGGATTACCTCCCTTCGTGATCGATATGATCTTAGAGACCCCACTCTTGTCAGATGATGATAGTGGCACTGAACTTTCCCTGAATGGAAAATTATTAGACCCTGAAGATGCGGACGACATTATTCTTCTAAGTGACGATCCAGGTAAATTGTAAGCTTTTCCAGACAGCTTGACGGACTGCGTAGACATGTTCGGTATGCGTTTTGCACCTTCAAAGTGCAAAATGCAGTGCCTGGAGAAACTATAGACCTGGTGGATAAGTTTTATTATCTGGGCACCTGCATTTCACCCAGCGGGCGGATATCGGATGAAGTGTATTTACATATACAGAAGGCTCGTCAATATGACATCCGTTTATCTATCAAGAGTCGACTGTACGCTGCACCCGTCAGACCCGTGCTTCTGTATGGTTCAGAATCATGGCCACTGCGGGTGGAATATATACAAAGATTTTAGTTCGTGAAATATTCCAATAGTCTGGATTTAGAAAAACGTAACGTGGCGAACACAGATATCTTTTCGGTACTTCTCTTCAAGTGAGTACAGAACACATGCACAGTTTTAGCGTTATTCGAAAATGTGATCCAGAGTATCAACGTAGAAGCACAAAACTGAATGTCAAACCCGTTTAGGTTGCATTTGTGTGGGCGCATTAACCACCAGGTTCACCAGTCCCGTGGTTGTCCCCCAATGGCGTCGACCTTCGGCCACGGGAGCTGTAGTGCCTCGACACACTGCTTTTACGAGCACAAGATTGGCCTATGTAACCTGATTTCAATCACCTCGGCCGTAGAGCGGATTCGGTATCTGATCCCTTTAGAGTGGTTGGCCGACACACGGTCGATAACGCTGAATGGCCCACCTCGCGTCAGTGTGTGACCCGAAGATTGTCGGTTGTTGAACACCGATATCTTCGTAGTATTGCTCGAATCTGGTGGGAACACCGTATAAGCAATGCTGAGGTTCGGTGGAGTCTGAGGTTCACGAACCAAATCACTAGACGAAATACTAAATGTCACCGGGCTAAGATGGTTGGGATATGTGCTGCGCATGTCCTCTGAAAGGATTCCTCGGTGTGCCATGTTCGCTGAGGCGGGTACCTGTTGGAAGATGAGTGAGAGTGGCCAGTCCATGAAATGGAAAAAAGGTATGGAAACCTAACATGTGAACTTGGTCATGTAGGTCGTGTTAGACTTTCTGGGTGGGGTCCAAGAGACCTACCCACTCAGTGGTCATATACGTTAGAGGAAGTGGCTAGCTGTCGTGATCGGCGGTGCTCTTGTATTCATATACTTTATTTATCCACTTCATACCAATATTTGTAGCTCTTTCACTGCTCCTTTATTATTCCTGTCCTTTCTCATTGTTTCCAATTGAGGATGTCGCCACTAAAGCCACCGCACTCGGTGCATGGTTAATTGTTGTCTAAACAGAATAGAACATAATTAGTGGCCGTGGAGGCGTTATGTATCATCATCATCATCATCATCGTACAGTGTTAAACAGTAGGCCAAGCCCCACTGACCCCTGCTTTTCTCACCATGTTGCACGCTGAATTAGAAAGTATGAATATACAAGATGGACAGGGAGTGGACCTACGGAAGTGGGAAAAGGAAAGAATGCCCTAGTAGCCAACACACGGAATACACAGTCTAACTGTACAAACGCACACCGATCAGTCATTCTGATTCGACAGGAAGTTATGTATTGGAAAATGCGTTTTTGTTTGCGCAGGTAGGGTTAGTCTATTCATGTGACCACTGTCTTGACTGTGCACATAATGACTCTGCAGATCCGACTAGAAAGATAGGCATCCACTGAATGTCCCTTTGTTGACTGATTTTCTCAGTGAAGCTCCGAATGACTCTCGTTACATCTTTCTGGCATTGCCTTGATCAGCTGCCGATCGTTACCACCGAGGTAGCTACACTGGAGTAAGTGCATCGGTAAAGAAGCGTATGAGTGGTTGATAGTGCTAGTCGATCTTTGAATCTGTTGGTTGAACTAAAGGGAGCATCATTATTTCGGCAGCATTGATGGCAGCTTGAACTGCCTTCGATATCCATCTTCTGAAAGGTTCCCTACTACCATCATCAACAAAGGAGCGATGAATGATTTCATTCAGGAGACGGTGTGGAATTCGTGCCTCACTGCCTTTTCCTCAAAGTAGTGGTCAACGAAACTGTCAAAATATTCGTTCTTTCATGGTGCACTACACGTTATGCAGGTTAGTTTCTGATGGTTCATTCGAAGAAATCCCTGTGGTCCATTGGGCTAAACAGTACATTAGATTTCATTCTTGGCAGATGAGCACGACAGTGTGAAAGTTTACGTACTGCCCAACCCAGGTGGACCTTCTGAGCACAGTCCATTCAGTCATCCCATCTTCCTTCCTTCTGAGTAGTACATCAAGGAATGGAATGCATCCCAGTTGACAGACATCGTTAGAATGCCCAAAATGTTGCTGTTACGACCGACGGTCCAAAGACCGATCCGAACAGCAGATGAATTCCCGTCCGGCATTAGAAGGCGCGGTTGGTTCTTACCAATCTGAATAGCCTGAGTCGTCGACGTGAAATGCACACTGCGGTGGAGTGAAAAACTGAACCAGAAACCTGCGTCGAATAGGATGTGTTTGGTCTGCAAACTGGGGTCCACAAAGTCCCGTAACCGGATATGTGTACGCCAGATGCTGAGGCGAAGAGTTCGCTTGCATTCCAAATCTTCATTCGTCTATTTGATTTCTAATTATACCAGCCCCTTCGCCTTTCCTCTTTACAGGTCGACAGTTTTCACTTTCAATTCGATGAAATTGCGAGATAACAACTAAAAGCAAAGCACAGAAGTGCAAAGTTACTGGATGGAAGAACTGATGCGAGCTGTGGGCATCGTCACGGTCCTTTCCTTTGACGACCGTTGGCAATGCGCCAATTCCACTTGATTCATAAATAAAAGTCTTTTCACTTACTTCTTTCTACTCAAATTTTGTATTTGCTTAGCGGCGCCCGTCGTCCAGTGGTCTTTCTTTCAGCTCAATGACGGCACAAAGGAATAACAGATGACGTAAAATATCCGAAAAAATTTGGACTCAGCCTAGTAGTTGTATATCATTTCAAGATTGACACATGTGCATCTAATAATTCAACACAAGAATGATGCTGAAATACAGAAAAAATAGCGCTAGCATTCCATATGACTGGAAAACTTCAATTTTTCTTTCGATTTCTATAGTGTCCAAATGAAATGTGCTGAAAACCGGAAGGAGAAGGCGTTTTGATGTACTCTGTGTAAGCTGGTGGCGAACAGGGCGTTACCAATTTATATGCATTTGGTCATACATAGCTTACGACTTAAAACTTTACAGTTAAAATTCCAGATTCTTTCCTCTTGGAAATGTAGTGAATCATCCCATCAACAGTGTCCTTTCAACTGGAATAAGGTTCTGAGGTTCTCACAAAATAAAATTGAGACCGGTCTGCCTGTCGTACGAAAATACAAGTGACCATGATGTCGGGAGAATTTCAGGAAAAGCAAAGTAATTCATTCATCTCGTATCACAATCAACTAGATGAACCTATGAGAGATCCAGCTTTTGTGCGGGATGCAAGTATAACTCTCGATTCACCGTGGTTGAACAGTAGTCAAGATAGGGAGGGATAACAGATGCCTTCGACAAAGTCTGATTTGAAGGACGTATTGAGAGTCGATCTGCAACAAAAAAGACAACCGGAAGAATGATCAAAAGCAGCAAAAAAATTAGGCTCATAGATTTGGCAAAATCAAATGTCTAAAATCGTGGTGGTCTAACTGATACATAATCCATGCGACCAGTATTGTCAACACAAAGAACGCAGAAAACAAAACAGAACTACGATGGCCTACAGAAAATCGGGCTGAGTTTGGATTTCGTGAAAACGTGTGATTTTCGTGGTAATCAAGATTCACGAAGTGCCACGATAATTTTCGAATCCTGATTTATTGATTAAAGATGAAATGCTCTACATTGTTTTTCACAGGAAAAGCTGGTCGCCTACACTATTTTGCGCTAGAAATCCCGAATGAGGACGGTGTGAGAAATCACCGTCATGGAATGATAGGCTGCATTGTTTTATATTTTTTGCCTTTTTTCACTTTTTTCATCATGCAACAACAGCAAAATATTTTGCGAAAGGGTTGCCACTGATTAGAAGTTGCGAAATGGGGAAGTACCTGGCGGAACGGAAGGGTGTGCAGTTCAGCACGTTGACCGTCTGACACTGCAGATCAACAGCAGAGTACATGATAGTTTGCTGATACACTGACGATCATCTCTCGTTTCATCCTATTTACCTCCAATGAATTTCAACTTATAACTTGCCGCCGAACAATAAGAAGAAAGGATGCGATAACCGTTTGACATCGATGATCGGCGACTTCAACTGCTGGATACGGTTATCTAAGAATCGTCAAACCAACATATCCCGGTCAATGCTTTTGTATTTTGCAACCTACTCAAATTAGCAGCTTTAAATGTGCGAACACTTTTGCTAGGATTCTTGGTTTATATGCTCGGGAACCATGCTGTCAAAAGTCTTAGCCCAGTAGCCCGTCTGCTATCTGCGTCGAAACAAAACGCATCTTACCCTTAAACTTCCTCAGAACCAGACCAGAAGAAGTTTCTCCACGGGTTCTTTGGTCACGTTCCCGTGCTGCACCTTGACGTGGTGTGATGTCTTGCGAGCCTCTATGAGCCAAAGAGCTATACAGGATGCCTTCTTTAAGCCGGAGATGCAATCATACCTGACAGGTCAATGGGTAGAGGTCAGACAAAGTCCAGTCTCCTGGTTCTCCAGGTTGGGGGTTGATCTGAGCTGGCAACTCAATCGGCAAAATCAGTGGAAGAATAATTGATCCAAGCAAATGGGCTCCCACTCAGCCATCCCACTGTCTTGCGGATAGGTTCTTGTTAGAACTAAAGGCTTTGGTTGAGAACCCTGATCTTTCTCCTGCTTTACGACTGGACACCCTAGCAGTACCCGTCCAACATCTCCCATGAACTGCACGAATACAAAGAATTCCATACTGCATCGGTCGTCGCGCAAGATAATCAAGACCGCGCTGCCCATTGCATCGAGCGGGATGGGTAGTGATAAGTGGGCACTGCTCAGAGTTCCTTCTCTTTTATTCAACTTTTGTCTTTTGTCCCCAACCATCCCTCTTTGCCCCATATATCCACCCATAATGCTCCCACTGATAATACGGTCGATACTCGCAACGATCCACTGTCAAATAGTATCGGGAATAATCCTCTGTCTAGTAACTCACATTTTCTCAAACCTCGTCAGCCTCTGAATCTCGGCTCCTTCAACGTGCGTACTTTCATGCAGGCCGGTCAGCAGGCGTGCCTAGAGCTCACAATAGATCCTCTGAAGATTGATGCCTGCTGCTTAAGTGAAACGCGTGTACAGGATTCGAACTGTGTAATTCAACTAACTGCTCCTGGTATCTCATCGAGGTATTTTCTGCACACTTCAGGAGACCAAGTAGCTCGAGCTGCGGGTCAACGTGGTGTAGGAATAGTCTTGACTGAGAAGGCTGAGGTCGCCCTTTTATACTGGATCCCTGTTAACAGTCGTTTACGTGCTGTGAGACTCCAAGGGTCAGTAAGCGTTCGAAAGGATAGTTGTGTTAAACGCAATTCGTTTGTGATCTCGGCGTACGCCCCAACGGACTGCAGCTCAGACTTGCAGAAAGATGAGTTCTATGATGCACTCGCTACCCTCGTTCGCAGCAGTAAAGGTTCTGACACTGTATTGCTAGCTGGTGACTTCAATGCACAAGTTGGCAAACTTAGTGTCAGAAGCCTGTTTAGGTGGGCGTTGTGCTTTACCCGCTCAGTGTACAGATAACGGGGATAGGCTTCTCCAGTTTTGTGCAGACAATCGGTTATTCCTGCCTAGTGCAAATTTCGGACACAGCTCATGTTACACGGCGACATAGTGCTCTAACGCTACAGGTATTCTGAGCCAGATCGATCACATCGCAGTAAGCTATCGGTTGCCAAGTTCTGTTCAGAACCGTAGATCCTAATAGACCACGTACGTAGGGTCTGACCATGCATTAGCTTTAATGCTATTATCTCTCCAGCTCCATGGTCATCGACACAAACCGCAGACCCGATTAGCCGTGCAACGTTTGTCTGATCCAGAAGTTCGCATTAGTTATGAACCGAAATTAGCACATGAGCTAGTATCTTTGACGAACAGTAATGTAGATGAGCAATGGGTCCATACCAGCAGGCAATGCACGTGGCAGCAGGTTTCGCCTGTGGTGCTAAATCTGTTGTCCATCAAAGACACTGGATCTCGCAAGAGTCGCTGAGTATAATGGGGCAAAAGCACCAGCTCTCGAACCGTAAGGAGATGAATAAGATGCGGAGAAAGCTACAAAGGCAAGTTACGAAAAGCCTCAAGAAGGAGTGCGAAAACTGGTGGACGAAGGCAGCCGAAGAAATGGAAATAGCAGCTGCTTCAGGCAACAGTCAAAGACTGTTTAAACTTAATCGTGACACCGGTGGACGTCGCACCCAGGTCAGTGAAACGATTTGCGATAAGAATGGAGAACCCATCCATAGCAAACAGCAAAGGCTTGACCGTTGGGCCGAATACTTCAAGGAACAGTTTAGCTGGCCGCACGCTAGTGTAGTTACTCCTGTATCAACAACTACGACTCCTTGGGTGGTATCACTGGAGCCCCCATCAGAAGTAGAAGTGGAGTCATGCATTCGATCATTAAAGTGAGGGAAAGCGGCAGGTCCCGAAGAGCTTCCCCCAGTTCTTTTCAAACTGGGTGGGAATGTTTTGATAAAATCACTTACCACTTTGCTCCGTGACATTTGGAACGCGGAGCGTATTCCGTTAATATGGAGTGAGTCGTTGATTGTTCCCATCTTCAAGAAGGGAATACTCAATGACTGTAGTAATCATTGTGGGATTAGCTTAATTTCGATAGTCACCAAAGTGTTAGCCTTGATTCTGCTGCACCGTCTTACACCGGCTCGCGAGAGGAATGCCTGCGAACAGCAGGCTGGATTCCGCCCAGGTCGAGGATGAATCGACCAGATTTTTACTCTTTGCTGACTACTTGAAACGCGTCACACGCACCGCCGACCGACAATAATGATTTCCTTAGACATAAAAGGCGCTTTCGATTCAGTTGATCAAGCAGCACTTTTCAGCACTCTTCATCGAAAAGGTATGCCCCAGAAGTTCGTGAACCTAATGAGATCATTGTATTCTCATACTTCTGGCCGCGTTAGAGTTTACGGTGAACTATCCGGTCGGTTCGAAACGACCGGTGGAATTGGACAGGGATGCCCTTTGTCTCCATTCCTGTTCAACTTCGTCATGGACGAAATAATGGAGAGTGCGCTGCAAAATCTCCAGGATGTAGGCGTCGAACTGGGAAACAGCGAGAAGCTGTGTGACCTAGATTACGCACACAACGTTGTCTGCTTGTTCGAATCCACGGAACATGGTCAACATGCACTAAATAATCTCGCAAGAGCTGTAGCTCCATTCGGCATGCGCTTTGCACCTTCAAAGTGCAAGGTGATATTACAAGACTGGACGTCAACGATTCCGAGCTTGATGCTCGATAGGGAGGTGCTGTCAGTTGTCGACCACTTCACCCGTATGGGAGCACAGTAGTAGAGGTGAGCACGCGGATATCCAACGCTCGAGCGGCGTACGCTGGACTGAAGCATTTGTAGCGTCGATCTGATATTTCACTGAAGTTGAAAGATCGTGTATACTGTGCCGCAGTGACTTCAGTTTTGTTGTACGGTTGCGAAACTTGGAGTCTGCGTGCTGAAGATATTCGTCGTCTTGAGGTTTTCGACTACCGATGTTTACGTAGTATCGCTAAGATCGGGTGGATTAGCCGAGTAAGCAATGCTGAGGTCAGAAATCAAGTATTGGGTACTAATTCGGAGAACGTTTTGTCACAGCGTACCCAACTTAGTAGACTTCGTTGGTTGGGACACGTGTTACGTATGGCAAACACACGTCTACCGTATCGCGTCCTATTCTCCGTTCCTCCTAGGGAGTGGAAGAAACCACATGGAGGTCAACAGATGACGCGGCAAGGAGGAATGAGAAAATGTACAGCAGACTTAGGAAAAGTAGGTGCTTCACGTCTTCGTGGTTGGGGTCCAAAAGATCCGTCTACCAGTTGGCTGGAGACACTGAAGGATATGGCTGCGAACCGCGAACAGTGGCGATCGTGTTGTCACTTTCTATCGAATCAGAATGACTGATCGATGTGTGTTTGTACAGTTAGACTGTGTATTCCGTGTGCTGGCTACTAGGGCATTCTTTCCTTTTCCCACTTCCGTAGGTCCACTCCCTGTCCATCTTGTATATTCATACTTTCTAATTCAGCGTGCAACATGGTGAGAAAAGCAGGGGTCAGTGGGGCTTGGCCTACTGTTTAACACTGTACGATGATGATGTTGATGACTCCACCGAAAAAGAATAAATAAGACCAATACTATCAATGGAGCAAACCAAAATTTATATCCGCTGGTGATCGCTCAGCTTGACGTTTAGGTCGCGAACGTTCCATCAGCAGTCGCGGTGACATCATCAGTGCGCACGTGAGGTTTCCCATGCAAGTACAAGTATATATATATATATATATATATATATATATATATATATATATATATA